TCCGCTCGCCGCGCGTCGTGTGTGGCTGTAGGTGTTGGGACACTCGGGTAGAGGAGGATATAACCACAGCCAGATGCATAACTCTGTCTTAAACGTTTAACTCTCTTTCTTTTGAAAGGCTGAATAACCCATTCTTGCCTCAGACAAATAGGCTGCAGCCAAAGATGTCCCCATCTGCAATATCAGGTATATGCAAGCATTACCTTTTTTTGTAGAGTTTTCATCATTTAGTGATGGCCATTTGCAGAATAGTCTACCTTGACTTTATACAGGCAAAGATTAATTTTATTTGTCATTTTATGAGCGTCCTGGAAAATAAGCACAGGCAAATATATTTTATTGTGCTTCTGAAGGGTTAAAACCTAGATTATTGTCTTTGGTGTGCCATGTCCCAGTGCTGTTTGGACTGCTTTTGTCACAGTGCTAGCTATATGTTTGATTCTGTGTTTTTTGAGCCAGTCACAGATCCTTCTGATTCTTTCTACAGACTTTTTGAAACAATCCCTGACATCCTTGAGGTTGTCATAGAGAAGTCATCCCATCATCTGATAGTACTCAAAAATTGTTCTAAAAAAGTCGTATGAGCATTCTTGGAACAAGACACAAAGGCTTAGTTTCACACACAAAGTCTGTGTGCTGCAATATAAATCCACCACTTTAGCAAACCAAACAGGAATCTAAACATAAGGAAAATAAAGATAAACAGGATTCTCCATATGTGGAGGAGAGTATATAAAATAAACATTGAATGCAAAGAGTAAGCAAAAGGAAATAACTCTTGTCTTTACTGCTAACCTTAGGCACAGAATTAAACCTTGTTCAGGTTCAAGAAAGGCATTTTCGTATGGTGTCATTGAATGTGATTATGCTTAATATCTTCCATTGTGTTTTATAAACCCAAATTAAATGTATAAATTCTTCATATATACTGCATGTGAAAAGTGAAATAGTTATAAATGGGATTAGTAATAGTTAGAATGCTGAATGGAAAGATGCCAAAAATAGCAGGGAAAAAAGTTAAGAGGGGAGTATGCTAGAAATCCTTCTTTGCTGGATCAGGGAACTTACATGTAGCCAAAAATTGGGAGTGTCTATGGCACTGGAATCTAGGGCATGGATCCCTGTCTTGCACAATTACATCTTTAGCATGGAAACCTTACTCGTTCTTTTCTTTTACAAGAGAGTTGGGGTAGTAGTTCTTATAATTTCTCCTTTAGAGCATTTGCCCAGGAAATTGAGGCATGAGTTTAATGCATTCCTCAGGGACATTCAAACTTGCTTTTCTTCCTCTGTGGGGAGAGCATCCTAATCACTAAGGCACAGATTGCATGTAGAAGGGCAAACCCTTTGTCCGAGCTGGTGATAATCTGTAGAATGAAATGCAAGATCATACAGTGAGAAGAAAACACATGGGACAGAGACCCTGCCAGTATCCCAGTCGTTAGGGCATTCTGGAAGGCATGATTCTGATGGTCTGATCTTTGTTTATAGGATGGCTTGTCTAGATCTTTGGAAAAAGTACATAAGCAATCCTGGCAGGGGGGAATTGCAATCCTGGGTGGGGTTTTATTTTATTTGCTTTGTGATCTCTTTGCTTCTCCTGTCCTCACAAATATTTAATCATTCCATGCAAAATTACCTTAAACCAGGGACACTGAAATACCCCTATAGCACATAGTTCAGAACTTTTGGCCCTTTTTTGAATGACAAGTTACCTGTCTTGGATTTCTTTGACAGCAAGGCTGGAATGGTCAGTTCTACAGGAGTAGAATTGTAACTGCTGACCTGACAGTAAAAGATTTCTCTTATTGAATACTAACTGGATCAGACTGCAAAGGCAAACTGTGAAAAGCAGTATCTAGTTTGAGAATCTGTGAAACTTAAATACCCATCACTGTCAATATTCTGAGCAAATTGGCTTTACTAGTATAAACTGGAGGACTGGGGACAGACAGCAGCCAAGCAAGAGTTCTAGTGATTTTAATGTTAGATTTTGGAAAGATCAGCACTGATGATTCCTTTTATGGATCTGGCCTCCAAATATTTGTTTGTATACAGGTTTCTTATTTCTATCGTAGAAGAGGCTTATCTATTTCACTGAGTATTGAAGATGAAAAATGTTAAAGATCATGATGCAAACCAATATAGCATGAGTGGGAACTTACAGTAACCCATATGGAAGATACAAATTTCCTTATGTAGAGCAGAATACTAAATTTATCACATACTCCTTGCAGTTTTGTCACCACAGTAACTTGCTTAAATTTAACAAAAACATTATTCTTCCTTGATGTCATTTTGTGGTGTTTTTAGGCCCTGCACATCTCTTTAGGCTTGCTGGCAAGTGTTTCAGTTTTGTGGAATCCACGTGAGTAATGGATTTGGCTATTTGATCCTATATATTTATTAGGAATGAACTAGTTTTTCATTTCAGTCTGAAACATTTCTTATTTTTTTTTCTTTTCTTTTTTTTTCTTCCTTTTAAGGTACAAGTATGAGTTTTGTCCTTTCCATAATGTCACTCAGCATGAGCAGACTTTTCGATGGAATGCCTATAGTGGGATTTTAGGGTGAGGCTTTTAGACCTTTAAGTTTTACCTATGTTGTTAGCAGACCATTTTACAGATTGTCAAAAAGGAGTCAGTTTTAAAATCAAGGTTCTTTTATTGGTCAGCTTAGGTCATTGTAGTTCCCATGGTGTTATGCATAAAAATATCTTGAAAAATTCAGATTTTTTCGTTGATAAATATTAACCTCCTATTTTAGCTGGAGGCTGATTAATAACAGTGCCAACTGCAAGTGTAATATGTTAATGTGTGAAATTCAATAATGTGTAACTACAGCTTATATTAACAAAGATTTCATGTCTTTTAACTATTTTCACTTCAAGTTGAATATAACCTTACAAAATTAAATGAGTGCTTTATGCCTAGTGGTTGTGTTAAACATATTTAATAAAAGGTAATAAAAGACTCAATGTAGACCCAAAAAATATCCCAAAGTATTCAAAGACCCCAGAGTATCCAAATCATAAGACCTAAAATAAATGTAATTATAAACCAGAGCACTGCTTTAAAATTACTGCTTTTCAAAATATTTTGTATATAGATTTTTTTTTTCCTATATGTACAATAATTAGTGAGCCAATATGAGAGGAAAAGGGTACATCAAGATGTTGAGAGTATCATTGGCTTTAGGACTAGCAGAAGTAGAGACTATATTTGTAGGTGCTCTCACCAGCACTAGAAATCCTGCAAACACTTTGAGTTGCACAGGGTACATAGCATCTTGGAATTTGTTGTGGGATTGACCTATAAGCTGTATTTTATTGGATTTAAACATGGATTTGTAAGTGAAAATGGTTTGCAAACTGAAAGCTGATCCAAAACAGTGATCTCAAAGTAATGTTCATGTGCCATATACAGCAGCCTGGGTAACAACCTACACTGTTTTATAAGGGCTTGGCTTTAAGAAATGGAAATACTAAGCCAACAAAAATGAAGTATATACAGTTAAATTTAACATGGCGTAAGGGTATTCCTGTTTTTCTTCCTGAGTGCTCACCTTCTTCTTTTCAGTAACTTAAAATAGAATTATGTCCTGTTTTTTCAGAATCTGGCATGAATGGGAAATTGACAACAACACATTTGTTGGAATGTGGATGAGGGAAGGAGACTCATGTGAAACTAAGAGCAGACAGACAAAGGTATAATAACCTAGACTATGCTAATTCAGACAGCATGACTCTACACACACTGATGACACTCTACAGACTGAAGCACTCCTACCTTGAAGAAGTCATCATTTAAGATGTGATGTAAAACATAAAGATGAATTCCTGTAGCAGCTAGGTGAATGGATGGAGGAGGCAAGCTAAAATCAGGATAAAATTTTGAAGACGTTTACTTACATATTCACACTGGTCACTTTTAACTCCTTTTTTCCTTGATAAAGTGGAATATTCTGGTATTATCACTGCTGTAGAAACATACACCGCTTTGTAATTTGTGTCAGGAAAAATAAAGAAAAACTGCTGTTAGTTGAATTTAAGATGCCAGCCTATTGTACTAAGAACATCCATGAAAGAGGGAAAAGAACTAGGCAGTTAACAACAGTGTGCTAAGCTAAGTAAGGTGTTAAAACAAGAGCAGAGGGCGTGCAAGGAGAATTAAGGAAGGAATTGAATATATGGGAGTGACATATGAACCAACTCAAGAGAAGCAGATTCTGGTGTGAGTACATTTTAAAGAAAAAGTAAAAAATTCTTGTTTTGTTGAGTGTTTAAAATGTTCCTTTTCACATTCATACAGTCTCTGTGCCAAGAAACTATTCGAGTAGAAGGGTAAGGAAGGGTGTCTGAGAGTTGTCCAATGTGTGGCAGATGATTTGCACATGTCCTTTATCCTTTTATTCATTAATGGTTTTCTTTTTCCACCTCCCATTTCAGTGTATTACACAGTTTTACAGATACAGTGAATTAAACCTCACATGCCCTGGTGACGCAGATCACATTGTGAAGAAGAGTTAAAGTACAATGATGGGTGACAATACAATATTTAAGAGAGAGGCATATATAGTTGAAATAATAGCTAATGTGAGGATGGGATAAGGACAAAATATCTTGGCCAAGGTGAAAATATTCTGCATTGTAATGCAGGTGCCTTGTTAACATCTTTATCTGCCATAGGGGCTCCAGAAAGAATACTATTCTTGTATGACCTTTGTGATTCAAATCTTTCACTGGCATTTAGTTTTGAACAGAGAGAAAATAACTGATGCTGCAAGTTTGAAAATGAAAACAAATTTCTACAGGGTAGATGTGTATTTTTCTCTTTATTTAGCACATTGGTCAGAACTAAAATTTTAAGTGAATTATGCTTCTGTTAGATGAGATTATAAAGGTTGTCCTATTCACCCTTCATTTTACTCTCATTCTTGCTGTAAATATGATGCTTGGGAGTCCAAGGATCAATGATAGGTGTGGGGGATCATTTTCCATTAGAGGAAGCAATTTTTGCATTTGAGAAAATAATTTGAAGATATGCTTGCTGTGAATCTTTTTCTATGGGTGACAGCACTTGAAAATTTGACATGACAATATGTACAGAAATGCATCTTCTAGCACTGGAAGGGATCAAACTGATCATCAATGCTGGTCCTGTTTAGTGTGTCATCTTTTGTCATCTTTGTTCTTACTGATGTTTAGGTTCATCTTGTTTGTGGAAAGAGCAATAAATTGGCTTATGTGTCTGAGCCAAGTACTTGTGTTTACTCCCTGATGTTTGAGACTCCTCTTGTGTGCCATCCCCACTCTCTTTTAGGTAAGATTTAGAAAATCATTTGTGTGTGGAGCAGCTGGCATGTTATGCCAAACTCAGAGTATAAATTTTTAGGTTCCTTGAGTTTGTAACTTGATATAAATGAGTACTAAATGTAACATATACTATGAAGTGTATTTTAAATCCCAATCATTATAACACAAAAGTATTTCTCAAATAAATTGTCATTACTAGTATAGGCCCAGTGTTTTTTTGCTTTTTTTTCATGGACTGGTTGTAGGAATCAGCCCTGTAGCAGCTGCTCGTTTACTTACATTACAGAAAGGGGGAGCTCAGTTAGAATTACATTCAGCAAAGAAATATGAGGCCTTCTAGCTGTAAATAAGAAATTTTGATTGGTGGCATTCCCCAGAAACTTTAAATGTGTGAAGCAGAATTTAAATTTAACCCCAACTCTTGAAAGCAGTACTATATAGCAGACTATATGTACTGTATAGAAACATTTGAGTTCTTAAAACAAATACGCTTGCATGCTACTAGAGGAGCATTTAACTAATGCAGGACAGTGCTGTTGGTTTTTACATGGTTTGACTTCCATTTTTCAGTTTATCCAACTCTGACTGAAGCATTACAAAGGAAGTGGGATGAAGCAGAGCAGCTTCTGTATGATGAACTAGTAACTGACCAGGTTTGTTAATTCCTTCCAACTCTGTTTGGTAAAGAACGATTAGTGTTAAATAGCCAAACATGGCTTCTGCAGTTTCTCCTTTTGGAATGGCTGCATATATTCTGCAGTTGGCAAATAGAAATTTTTGTGCTCTGTAACTGCTTTAACGGCTTGGTGATTGTAATGTTTTCTACAGTGAAGTTTGAGGAATTGGAATGGCCAGTGCAAATTGCAAACAGAGATAAGTCTCGCGTGGATTGCTCTGTTGTCTTTTGGAAACTTTGTTTTTTAGGGATACAGAAAAATACTGAAAGATATTTTTGAGGAAGCGGGACTTCTAAAAGCAACAGAAGAACAGGACGTTGAGAAACAGAACAAGAAAATAAGTCTGGAGTTTGAAACAGTGGAGAAGTGCAGTAAGGTATAGAGAGCAATATTTACAATATGGAATTAAATTGCCATCTTTATACTGTATGATAGTATCAGTGTGACAGCATTATGTAAATACTCTTTTGATTCAGCTGAAATCTTATTCATGGGATTATCTTTTCTGGTTTCAATATGTAACTTGTCTGCATACAGAGTAATTTGATATCTTTGTTCTAGCCCTTAAGTGAAAAACAAACCACCACAACTGAATGCCCAATAAGAAAATGGGGGAGTATGTAGGAATTAGTGTAGGCGCTTGGGTTATGAACACCTAGTAAGTACTGTTTCTGGGCAATATCAGTCTGGAAATAGGAAGAAATTACTAGTGAAAATAAATGTGTAACCAGCCTTGGGAATGTTGACACTTTTCTCTGCGGATAATTACCCAGACTTGTGTCAGAATGCATTGGCCGTTACAAAAGAAAAAGGCAGAATGATCTATGCTGTGTCCATTTCTGAATGACTTTCATGTATGTGAACAGTCCTGCAGCAGAATTGAAATGGGGAAAATAGAGGTAGAAGGTGTGCTCAGCCTAAAAGAGTGCAAGCTGAACATCAAAAGAAAAGCATGGAAGGGAATTAACTCATTATAATGCAGAGAAGAAGCTGCTGTTGTCATTTTATTTGAAAATGTAGCAAAGACAAAACATGATGTAGTAATTCATGGAATTATAGAATAGTTTGGGTTGGAAGGGACCTTTAAAGGCCATCTGATCCAACCCACCTGCAATACCTACAGTATTTAATAATTCGTACGTCTTTTTCTGGCTTCATCATAGCTTAATTGACATGAAGTTGGCTGTTTGGTAACCACAGAATCTTAAATAGTTAAATCTTTTGCTCTTTCTTAATCTGTGTAAAAAATGAAACACAACGAACAACTGGGGCTTCTTCGAGATTTCAGGTGTGTGGTTTGAGTCTCAAAAGTACTAAGCAATCCCTGGCTCTAAATTAATAGAAACTGATGAAAGCAAGAACATGAAGTTACTAGATCAAGAGTTGAGGAAATTACAATTTCCAGACTAGCATTGTTATATAAAATAATGCAAGGCTAGTCCTGTAGCAAACTTATGAATGCAGTTGTGTGCTATGATAAAATGCTAGTTAGAGGATAGATCCATAATAGTTACAGAAAGCACTCCTAATTTTTACTCTTAGCATCGGAAAAAGCTGGCTCCTGTTTTGGCAACATAGAAATATATCTTTTTATAAAATTTGCACCTTGTTCTTGGAATAAGCAGTTTATCTTTAAAGTCAAAAGCTCTAACAGCTGTGCACAAACTCATTAGTTTTTATAAACTCCCGTTTTATGTATGCATTTGGAGAGGGGGAGAACCAGTTTAAATATATTTTCTTTCTTAGGAATACAAGCAACTTTCTAAAGAAATAAAAAAACTTAGAGATTTATTGAGTCAGCATGGTATTGCATACAAAGGAAATACTGGTGAGTTTTTTGGTATCGTTCTTTTTCATTATTGTCTATTCAGAATGTGAATACCCAAATGTTGTTTTCAGTTACAGCAAGGATTAAATAATCTGTCATATATGGAGGTAAGATTCAGTAGACGAAGTTTTTAGTAAGTACTTAGGTCTTGATTCCTGTGCAAGAGGACTTATTCTGCCCCCCAAAAACCTGTTGATGATTTGAAATTTTAGCTTTATAGACAAACTTTCACTGCTGTTGTATTTGACTTTTGTCTCCAGTACTTAAGGTGCCAAAGAAAATCAGTGTTAGAGCATTCATAGCACATAATCATCTTTTAAGTAACTCCATTTTCTGCATAGTCAACCACAAGGCTTGACTTCTTCAAGAACACTTGAAATGTTCTCTGTATCTGAACTGTTTTTATCCTTTCTTAGTCACCTCTTCCTTCTGTTTGATTTCTGTTAGGTAAGTACCACATCCCATGCAGTTCTTAGAAGGAAAGACTGTTGGGTGCTTGCTATGAAGAAGCAATGCTTATCTGGATTAATTCCAGACAAGTTGTTTTTGGGGTGGGGTTTTTGGGGGTTTTTGTTCCCCCTTCCAATTCCTTCCAGTCCATCGTGCCATTACATCAGCTGTTTCTCTGAGGAGGATTTAATTTCCCTGAACATATATTTACACCTTTTATGTTCAGAACTGGCACCTCAAGAAAACAATGAACCTTTGAGCTAATTAAGTTAGCTTAAAATTAGTGACATCCTTAATTTTTTTCTTCTTCTTGTTTTGAGAAATTTTATTCTCTGTTTTTTTAAGTGATGACTTTCTTTTCTAGGGAAAATTCACCATATTAGAATTTTTGTAAAACATTTTATCTGCGTATTTGAACTATTAACTATGTAACTTGCACAGTATTTCTGTGTGAGAATTTAATTATTGCATGTTAGAACTGTATAATAAAAAGCAGAATTCACAGCTTACTCTAGATGACTTATTTCAAAACTATTTAGTGAATTCTGTGACAAAAATATTTTGGTGTTTAAAAGCAGAAATAACTGATGTCTTAAACTAAATATTACAGCTGAAAATACCAGTGTCGAACATGTAAGTCACAAACTGGCAACTGCAGTGACAACTGTTTTTAACGGGTCAAAGGATGATGACCACATGCATGGCGATACAGGAATTTGGAATGACACACTATGAAGAAACTTGGGTGGTAAACAGCAAGTTCGTAGAGAATGTCAAGCAAGTTCAAAGTGTATTGTGGCACTAAGATGATTTACCTTCTGCAGGTATTCTTGACTTTCTGAATTTCTGCCCTAAAGCAAAGGGAACATAATGGAGTGAGGGCTCACCATGACTGAGAACAGGTGGCTAGTTTCTGAAGACATATGTAAAACTTCTTTGCTAAGGATGGTAATGGGCATAGGTTTACATATTCTATGTCTCCAGTCCCAGGCCTGTTACTTTCTTTGATCAAGCATGGTAACAGGTGGTGTAAATACAAAATAGTTCAAGAGTATTGCTGTAAGATGTTGTATGAAGGGTAATAATTACAGTATTAAGGACATGCTGTTTTATTTGTACTCTAAAATGTTTTCTACCACAGCAGTGCATAATGCGCTACTCTACCCACCTGTCTTCTGAGGTCGATGGATAACTGTTCAGGATCTGAGGGAAAAGTGGTAGGAAAACACCAAATTGTTTTAAACGAATAGTTAAGGGAATACATGGCAATTCACTGTACATAATATGGAATAAAATGGGCTCTTCAAACACAAGCTCTGGAAACATTACCGTAGGAGTCGGCGAACGCGAGAACGCCGACTCCAGTCGTTTTGCCTCCTCCTACCGTCCGGTTCGTGAAC